ACCAGGTGCTGCAAATGGCTGTACATACCCCATATATTAAGTCAAGGCCAAAGGAAGATATTACATGGTTATCTGTTTACTGTACAAATCTTCACTGGGAAGAGATGCCTTAGCTAGCTCTATTAGCTAGGTCCAGAACAAGTACTACAGATGTGGTAGCATAGCCAGGCTAATACACTCTGCTAATTATCTCCTCGCAGTGCTTCCATGCTCCACATAGATTACTGTCTGAATGCTAATCTTCTTACTGCCAGCTAAGGTTATCTGTGCATGGCACCATATTATGCTTTGTAAACATACCCTAAAGTTCTGAAGCTGAAAAGGAACGTGTGATTTAATGAAAGGGAAAAATGCTTTTAGGATTGTCCATTCTTTGCTGAATATTGGATTCCAGTAATAAAGGAAAGGTGATCTGGTAACTGATTAGTAGCAGGCCACTTTTCACTGTTATCTGTGTATAGTAGTTTTACACTAGTGTAAATCTAGTGTAAATGTAGTAGCTTCCGTGGGCTTGTGTTGTATTAACACAGCTATGAACACAATGATAGCTGTATTTGCAACTTACACCACAAGGACTCCATTCCCCTGACCTTTCACATGCAGAGCTTACTTTCAGTGAAATTCAGTGAATGCATGCAGTGGGCATTTTTGAGGCTGTGTGAAAGTTTTGCACACTAGATTCCATCAAAAACGTGCCTAGAGAATGAGACAGATACAGGGAGAATACCTCAAAAACCTGCAATTTGCTTTTCTTTGAGGACCTGCTTGTTCAGAATCTCAACTCTAAGCATTTTAGCTATTTGTGTGCTTTCATATTGACACTTTTTTTGTTTAAGCATATAAAGATTTTCTTTTCTACTAACATTGGGTTTGTGTTGTCTTATTGCCATCTCTATTGAATTGTATACATTCCTACCTAGTTACTTTATTTTCTTTTAATTGAGCCACCATACTGTTGAGAAGAAGCACTTAATTCAGGGATGGGCAATTATGTAGCTTGGAAGGCTGCTTAACAAATTTTGATGAGCTGTCAAGGGCCATAATAGTAGCTCTGCCTCTTGACATGTGCCCCACACTCTGGTCACCATCTTGGGATCAGGAGTCCTGCCTCTAACCCCTGACCTTTGCCACTGGAATTCCTTCCCCTTGCCCCCAGAAGTACTCCTTTTCAGAAGAGGGTTTGTCATCTTAGAACAAGAAAAAAAACCAAATTCTACAGTAAAAATCAAACATCTACAATAAGATATTATATTTTTGTTCAAATAATATTTTTGTCCCTATTTGTGTGTGTTTGCATTGTGTATATATAGATGAAAACCTGGAGTAATGGCCACAAACTCCTGAAAGATTGATTCAGTCTCAACATTAGGAAAAACTTCTTCACAGTCAGGGTGTCCAGACTGTGGAATAAGCTCCCTCCAGAGGTGGTGCTGTCACCTACCATGGAAATCTTCAAGAGGAGACTGGACAGTCATCTCTGTGAATCTATGAAGGAAAATTTCTTACCCGATTCCTTACCATCTCTCACCCCCCAAATTCATACTACACAAATTGAACACTGCCATAAACAGTGTCAATGCAATTAATCTTTCATTTTGTCAGCTAATATAATTTGGCAGAAGCTATGAGTAAAACTTTGCTGATTTTAAATTAACGAAGTATTTGGTCTGGGATATTTTTCAGAATCAAAGTATAGATATATCCAGCAAAGTGTAGTTAACATAAATATGTTCACCTTCCTTCATTGTTAAGTAGTACATTTTTCCAATTAAAATAAATAGACTCTGTCTTCTTTAAACCTCTTCTCTGAAAACTAATACATTGGGCTAGGTATAGACATTACACTTTTACTGGTATAAATGTTCAGAAACTGATCTATACCCATAACAGAACAGAAATTTGCACACAAAATGATCTATATCCAGAAAACAACATAAGTGTGGCATGCACAGACTGGTTTAAAAATGGTGAAACCCTGTCCAAGATATGAGTAGATGAATTCTACCTCAGGCTTTTTGAATGTCTGTACCTAGAAGAACTGTGTCATGGATCTGATTTGAAACCCACTGGAGTCAGAGGTTTCCTCACCCCTTTGGCTCAAACTTTAAATGGATAAATATTTGTGGGAGCTCATTTTTATAATATTGGAAGCAATTTACTTGTAGAATGTGAGCTTAGCACATTGAAATTGAGATAGCTAGCCAGTCTATGAAGATTTTCATAATGGAAACAGTTATCTGGAGGACTCAAGACAACCTGTCAAGCCATTTCCTGGTTGAACATTAACCACACACTTAAATTTAATGCATTAAGGCAGGAGTGTTAAACCCACTTTGCTCCCGGTGCAAGATCCAGAGCATGTGGTTTCTTGAGGGCTGGATCTAGATGTGACAACAGAGCAAGTGGAGGCAGTAAGGTAAGGTGTGGGGAAGGGAAAGGTGACAGCAGAGGGCAGGTGAATAATGGAGAGGGTTAACACAGCACAGATGTTTCTTGCCTCTGCTACCAGTATGTGTGCCCACTGGGGCTCTGTGCCCTGGATTTAGATAGTAGGCCCCATGCCGGCTTATGCCAGATTTCTGGCCCCTCTAGCAGTCCTGCAAGGCACACAACAATGAAATTTGACACCTTTGCCTCAAGTAGTCTTTTTTTGTTGTTAAAATTGATGTTGAAACAAAACTTACTCTCAAAGAAGTCACTTCAGTATGAATGACGCAAAGCAGGTCCTCAAGTAATCCATTTCTAAGCACTTGGAGGAGAAAAAGGTAATTAGGAACAGCCAGCATCAGTTCATCAAAGACAAGTCATGCCTGAACAACCTCATTGCCTTCTATGATGAGATGACTGACTCTGTGGATATGGGGAGCCCACTGGATGCAATATACCTTGACTTTAGCAAGGCTTTTGATGACTGTAAGGTGGATAGAAAGTTGGCTGCATCATTGTGTTCAGAGGCCAGTAGTCAATGGCTTGATGTCTGTTGGCTGCCGGTTTCAATTGGAGTGCTCCAAGGGTCAGTCCTGGGGCTGCTTTTTTGTAGATGATTCATAGATTCATAGTTGTTAGGGTTGGAAGAAACCTCAATAGATCATCGAGTCCAACACCCTGCATAGGCAGGAAAGAGTGCTGGGTTCAAATGACCCTAGCCAGATGCCTAACCTCCTCTTGAAGACCCCCAGGGTAGAAGAGAGCATCACCTCCCTTGGGAGCCCATTCCAGATTTGGGCCACTCTAACTGTGAAGAAGTTCC